AATGCTGTGTCATTCTCTACATTCGAGCGTGTTTCGACTCCAACCGGTTCCGTCTTTGAGCTCCGTCTTGTCAGATTGGGCTGTTTGTTTGGAATTTGCTGTGTGCATGATGAACCGAATGCTGTGTTTTGGGCTGTATGCAGATTAATCCCCAACAGAGTAAGGGCTGTGTGTCCAGAATCAGGCAGTGGGTTGCTTGGGTTATTTTGCTGTTGGCTGTTTAGTTATCTGATTATTACAGTGCAAGTGTTCAATTTTCAAACAGCCAATCAGTTCCATTTACATTGAGGTGTAACATGATGAGATGCGATGCGATGCATGAAATGTGTAAATGTAAACACTTTTTTAGATAAAAAGTCCGTTTCATTTCATTGTCTTTTCGAATGTACAAGTTTTAGAAAACAAAAATCTGCCTGCGGTAGTACAAGGTAATCTATCTACCAACCAAAAAGAAAAGTACAAGAAAGAAAGAAAAGATAGCAAAGATCTGCATCTGTATCGAGCACTCCAAGGGCCGTCAGTCTGTCCTGGTCCTCTTCCTGGACGAGGGTCCAGGAGCATCATCAGCATCGTCGTCAGAGCCCGAGCTAGAACCGTCTCCGGTCTCCTCCTCCGATGACCCTGCCTCCGCCTCTGACTCCTCGTCGTCGTCATCGTCCGGGACTGGAGCTCGCGAGCTACTCCCGACGTGAGTACGCCCTCCCCTGGTACGGGGAAATATCCGGCCCTCCTCATCTCTCCCCCGAGCAGGGACAGAAGGTCTAGCTGGAGCACCTCCTGCCATGGGAATCTGGAAAGGAGGCTGAAAAGTTCACGAAAAGGGAAATGCATCAGTACACTGTGAACAGTTTAAAGGTGCAGAATGCAGCGTGTGAGTACAGTGTATGAACGCCGTGAGCAGTATATCAGTGCAGAATGCAGTGTGTGAGTACAATGTATGAATGCCGTGAGCAGTTTATCAGTGCAGAATGCAGTATGTGAATACAGTGTAAGAATGCCGTGAGCAGTTTATCAGTACAGAGTTTAGTGCAGAATGCAGTGTATGCAGTGTTCAGCTACTGTGAGATCAGTGTATCAGGTATTGTGCCGTGCATCAGATTATGCAAAGCAGTGTATGAATGGTTTGAGGCCAGTGTCAGAAGAACATACCGGTATGCTGTAGACGGCTAAGAGGTCAAATGTCCGCTGGAGCATCCCCATCATCGAGGCATTCATCGCCAACGACTGACGGGTGTACTCAGAAGAAGTGTGTGAGTACAATGTATGAATGCCGTGAGCAGTTTATCAGTGCAGAATGCAGTATGTGAGTACAGTATGAGAATGCCGTGAGCAGGTTATCAGTACAGAGTGCAGTGCAGAATGCAGTGTATGCAGTGTATCAGATACTGTGAGATCAGTGTATCAGGTGTTGTGCCGTGCATCAGATTATGTGATGCAGTGTATGAATGGTTTGAGGCCAGTGTCAGAAGGACATACCGGTATGCTGTAGACGGCTAGAAGGTCAAATGTCCGCTGGAGCATCCCCATCATCGAGGCATTCATCGCCAACGACTGACGGGTGTACTCAGAAGAAGCCTGTAAAAGAATCAGATGCATCAGTATTCTGTGGAATATGAAATAGACTGAGATGAATGACTGTACGAAATGCAGTAGAACATACCGGTGGTAAGTCGGGGACGTCAATGAACTCGTGACCAACCGGTGGAGGGGCGAAGGGGATCTGATAGGTCGACCCACCCTGCCCCTGGAAAGTCAGTACAGCAAGCAGGGCAGGCCAGCCAGCTCCCCGTCCTCCCTGCACTCCACCCCTACCACGGACCCGGGCCCTCCTCGAAGATCCAGCCCC